GTATGTCATCAAACAATAATGAGAGTGAAATACAACTACAAGGTGAGAAACAAAGAAAGTGATATGAAATAGAGAGAATATTCTGGAAATTATTACAGCAAAATCAACAATATTGAGCTTGATCAAACGATAGTCATCACCTCTACTGCACTCTCTTTCACATGCAAATTCTGACCAAATCAGAGACACGATCAACGTCAATAGGTACAAAGACAGCTCAAATTTATAAAACTGTACAAGATAGCAGAAAATAGGGTAAAAGATAGAATAAAACATGAGAAGGCACCACAAACAACATCCACAATTTATAAGAATCTTACTGCACATAATTAGTTGGTTAAAACCTTTAATTATTCCATAATACAGCATTGACATATTCACAAATAAGTAAAAGAAGCAGGATATACAGATCAAATGTTCTTGTTGATCTCTCACTAAACAGCTCCTATAGCAGTACTTCATTGTGAGAGAATTTACATGTACACATGGGTGTTGTGTACTAAACATGTTGGTGTGCAAAAGCATAAAATTGAAACAAAGCATTACCGATACCCCATCAGCTTCAAATAGCAAGCAGGATTTTGTAATTAGAATGGTACAAGAGTGTCATAAGAAATCAGGCAAAATGAAGCTTAAAGTACAAAAATATTGTGATTTGGAGGAAGCAAGAAGGAACCAGCTCTTAACATCTGACCATGCTTCTTGGGGAAGATCCATAAAGGAAATAGCCTTGATTACATTGCTAACCAGGAAATGTGTGCCAAGTATGGGCTGAGTCAGAATGAACAAGTTATGTAATGAGGGGATGGAAAATGTCATACATAGCTAACAACTACTAGCCATGCAAATAGTACGTGACTACTAGTGACAAATATAAGTTGTCATAACGAGATAATGGGAGCCAAAACAAATGCAATTTGCCAATATGACAGAAATCCAATATCCCATTACACTTTTTCTTGCAAAGTTGCAATGATTCTATTTCCTCCATCCAAAATGTATGTCAATTTAACAATATAGTTTGAAGTAGCTAGATGACAACCAAAGCCCACCAAAGGTAGTAATATTGTAAATTTGTAATAATCAAATTGTGGGAAGTAGCATCTAATAATCAAGTTCACCCCATAAGGTGTGAATCACCCTCTCTCTAAAAATATGAAAAGGGACCAAAAAATAAGGTGAACCTTATGAACTAGAATGTATAAACTATCATACTTCCTGTACATAACTATCGCGACAAACTTGATACATACTATAATTTTCTCAGAAAGTAAGGTGCAATAATCTAGGGGAACGCCATCACTCTACATTTTCCTCTCATCCATAAACAATCAAGCGAGAAACTAAAAAACCCTTACAGTATAAATTTTTCAAATCAAAATCAAAGTTGCAGTTTTAATTTAATTTACACAATACTGAACTATGAACACTATTAGAATTAGTTTACTGACACAAATTCATGTCCCAAGTCCGACTCGGCTATTTTGTAAAAACAATCAGTGTCACCCATCCCCGACTGTCAAAAACCCGACACGAATATCTAAGGTTAAATGAAGAGTCGAGTAACAATTCACAACTAGTACATTACCCAGCATTATCAAAGCAAGTAAATGCATTTAAAAAGTAAGAGTAATTTAGAGAGAAAGAAAGGGAAAGAGATAAACCAATGCCATGGAGGCCATAGCAAGTAGAATGAGGAAGACGGATGAAGTGACCAGAGATGGACCCACATGCCAAAAGTGTTATAGATGTTATTCCTTCCATTTCCTTCACTCTACTTTTCTTTGAATCTCCTTCTTCGTCTTCTGCAACAAAAGAATTAAGCAAATAAATTATCTTCCAATAAAATTGTAAGATTGAATTGGGTGAAAAGGGGTTGCAAGAAAGTAAAATTCGAAGTTTACCCATTATCAAATTCTAAGAGATGAGCAGAATCCACGAATTTGAATGTCTTGAAGAGCCCTCTTGAGTGTAGGGGAATCGCTCTCACTGGAAGACTCGGAGGAGTGCAGAGAAAATGAAGTTTGTCGATTCTATTCGGTATTGTAAATTGGTTTAGGCTGTGCAAATTCGGTTTTGGAATTTCGGGTACAGTGAGTTTAGGGGGAACCTTGAATGAACAGACGACGAGTTGGGGTTCAACTCGGTCAACACTGATATCGCATAAGTTGAAATCTTCATAAATTTGAGGTTTTTTTTCCAATCAAAGTCGCTCCAAGATTATAAAAACAAATAGATAAAACCCAAAAAGTAAATTGATTACCTCGAATTTGTGATTTTTGAATCGATAATTGATTCAAGTTTGTTGTTGTTGTTGTTGTATTTGGTTCACATTGACGGCGGCGACGATGGTGGTTGTGCTTGGTTATGGAGAAGGAGATCGAAAGAGAAAGGGAAAGTGGCGCTTATGGAGAAGGAGATCGAAGGAGGTTAAGGAAAGTGCTGAGAGAAAACTCAGAAACCCCTTCAATGGAAAATGTCGAGTACGCTTCAATGGAGGAGAGAGAGGAGGATAGATCGTGGAAATGAAAGAGAAAACAAAGAAATCGAACCGAACCGGTGTGATTTACTCACTTTCCGCACCGGTTTTGTTAGAACCGGTGCTAAAAACAAACCTTTCGCACCGGTGCGAAAACTCTTTCCCTCAATCCCGCCCAATTTTTTTCGCACCGGTTTTTAAAAATCGGTACGCATTTGGCGGTGCCCATTTAAGTTTTTCTACTAGTGTTGGTTTAGGTTCCTTTTTAATCTTGTTGTTTAATCGAAGTGATCACGATATGTTAGAATTATGTGTTGCATCAACATTAAACCAATTTAGCTTAATATTAGTTTGGAGCAGATTGAATCTTTGTTTGCTTGCCTTTGAGATCGCAGGAATCTCTTTTCATAATAAGGATCGAGTAGAGGCCAATACGGGCGAATGTGACTCCATGACTCACTTCGTACCATCATCTCCGATCCTCCTTTCGTGGTTCCAAACCATATGGAGTTAGTAATCTCATGGATTATGAATGGGGTGTAACCTTCACAGGTCAATCGTTGTTGCCTATCGTTGTCCCTTATCGTGGTTGCCTTAAATTATCCGTGAACGGTTTACAAGTTCCTAAAAAACTTGTTGACGGCTCCTTATTTTCCTTGTCCCTAATCGTATTATGTCAATTCCCACTTCCTATGAGTGTCAAGCATATTCACAACATGTAACATAGGCGCGCTTCCAATGACGCCTACAATTTGGCGACCCACTGGGAGGATTCTTGGTTATTTATCGATTTGAGTGATCGATATTTAATTGAGATGAGTGGATGAGACTTGAAAGATTCTTGAATCGTATTGCTGTGATTAAATTGGCATTTTTGCATATGCAATGACGTTTAACGTTGTTTTTAGATTCGTCCCGTAGGAAAATTTCAAATAACCTGATTGCGAACGATAAAACAGGGGCACTGGATTAATTTCCAGACTACCGCGCCACGACAATCATGCCGTGTCACGGTACAGAATACCGTCACACGACGTTCTGTACAGTGACATGGTAAGTTCTATCGTGTTGCGGCACTCCTAAAATTTTTCCAGTGGCTCTGTAATTTTCTCGTTATTAGCTTCCTTCAATTTTTCTGAAAAAAACGTGTGCGTTCTACATATGTCTTAGCTCCAGGGGATTTAAGCTCTATCAACCCAAAAACGCTCATGGAAATAAGGGTTCATCCGAGTTATTAAATCCACCCAAACCATGTAGTCGAGTTCGATTTAATCACGAACTCGCGGAGCCGCTCGTTGGCATGCACCCTCAAGGGAGGCTACCTTGCTACGCGTCCAAACTCTAAACCATGATACCCTTTTGACACCAAATAAACTTGACCATAGTGGAACATAAAACTTGACCTTAGGTTGCGAACTCTTCCTTGCATCATTGTGCCTACGTGCCTTATGTGTGTATATTTTATGGTTTCGATCCTAACCTTAATGATCTTTGTTTATCTACAGTGGTTTATTTTATGACTAACTAATGCTAATGGACCGTACTCACTTAGTAATTAGCGCAAACTCTAAAATTGATAAAAAAAATTGGAAAAAAACGCACAAAAACAACCTAGAACTGATTACCGTGCTACGACAGAAATGTCGCGTCACGACAATCAGTGTCGTGTCATGGCAACTAGTACCGCACCACGGTACAGTTTGCCGTGTCACGGTAGTAGTGCCATGCCACGGTGCCCAGGTTTAAGTCTAATCAGTCCCTATTTTAGTCTTCCGTGCTATTTTGGTCCACGCGTCAGTTGTTTTGATATTGTTTACATGTCTAGCCATGCGATCATACCACGAGTCTTATATATAACATCACCTAGTCACTCACGAGTCAAGTATTGTCCACACACTTTCTTTATTTTTCGACTCGAGTCATGCACTATGTCGTTTATGATCATATACTAGGTTCATGCACCTCTTTTTTCGTCATAAAAAAAAATGAGTGAAGTTTTTCTCATTTGTTTTCAAAATGTCGTCTTTCTTGCTTTCTCTCCCATGTTGAGCAGTAAGTCAAACTATTAAGTGAATTTGGTTTATATTACAGTACTTGGTCAAGAAGCAAGGGTAGATTGGTACGATTTGAGTCGCTGCCACAACAACCTCTTATACCTAAGAGGCGTACAAGGAAACCACCACAAGCGTCTCCACAAAGCTCATCTCCATCTCTAGTTTATTTTCAACTCACGACCACTAAGGAAGATACTAAGGGAATCTACAAGTCTATTGAGGCTCGTACTGCCATGATGCAAAAGCTCACTACCACTACAAGAAATAGGCCGGATTCCGACGGACATCTTCCGACAGACACAAAATTCCGTCGGAAATCCTATATATTCCGGCACCCCCCCTTTAACATCAGTTCTTGAAAACCGGTGCCAAAAGAAATGGGCGGGATTGGAAAATAGGGAGTTGGCACCCCCCCTTTAGCATCGGTTCTTGAAAACCGGTGCCAAAAGAAGAGTTGGCACCGGTTCCAACAAAAACCGGTGCCAGCTCATTTAATTAGCACCGGTTCAAACCGGTGCCAACCTTAAAAAAACAAAAAAAAAACAAACAAAGAAAGCAATAGAGTTGGTAAACCGGTGCCAACTATAGTAATTAGCACCGGTTTGAACCGGTGCCATTAACAAAAAGTCCGGTTTAAGGCGCATCTTTTTCTTCATTTGCTTGCTCTTTCCTCTTCGTTCTCATCTGATCTGCCTCTCTCTCTCCTCCATTGTAGCGTACTCGAATTTCTCCATTGAAGGGGCTCCTGAGCTTTCCTAACACTCCGTCTCTCTCCTTCGATCTCCTTCTCCATTAAAGGCCTCCATTCCTATTTCCTAAGTCTCTGAGTTATTTCATTGAAGCGCATTCAATGTTTCTATTGAAGCGTTCTCCATTGAAGCGTTCTCCGTTGAATCTAATTCTTGTATCCCCCATTTAAGCAGCTTCTAAGGTAAGTTGTTTGTTGTTGTTATCATCACATCAATTTCACAATCTAGGGTTTATATTTTATCTAATCTAATTTAATTATCAGTGCTTTAAGTTTAGGGTTCGCAAATTCTTAGATTATGAAACATCATATCCAAAATAAAAGAAAATCATGAGCTTAATTTGATTATTGAATTGAATCAAGTATCCCTAAAATTATGTATTTTTCGAGATAATTCAATATGAAATCAAATCTCTTTTCCCTGGGCCTAGGGCGGCCGCCCCTCCTGCCCTGCCTCTGGGACGGGCCTGATTGAATTATAATTTGGTGTTTCATTAGTTGCTGAAATGCTGGAGTTTTGCTACTGATATCTTAGCGGAATAGAATGTTTATTGAATTGAGATAAGCATAGTTCTACTGTTTTTTGTAGATTTGTTTACCTAATTTTCACATTATACATGTTTCGCAGCCCGTATTTCTCAACTGGTTAAGGTTTAACATTGCACATCTTGACTGATCAACCCTATCCCTTAGGGCATATACTTGTGTGATCTTCGTTGGCTCGTACTAATATGTGGATGAGAAATGTGGATGAGATGAGAACATAAACCATTTGTTTGAATACTTTACCAAATTGCACAATGAATTTCATCGTATGTCTGTCATGACCAAGGATTACTTGCAGGAATTTAACTCTGATGCAGATGCACAAGCAAATTTTGCCGTTAGTCTTGCTGGTGAGTTGCACTATTTACTAATTTATTCCATATAAAACCTTCCTACTCTCTGGCTGACCAGTTTCTCTGCTATAACAGATGGTCAAGTTCAGGAGGTGTTCTTTTAGCTCAAATTTGTAAAGTCGGGTTTTGGAACCTCAATAGCAGAATCAGTTAGCTGCTGCATACCTTTTTGGCTTTCCATCTTTTATTTATCAACTTTCAAATAATATTGCATACAGGTGAATAAGAAATTGCACATGCTTTTGGGCTGAACATACTCAAGAAAAGTCATCAACATTGTGGCCCTGTGACATTAAACTTGTAGTTTTACATGTCTAGCAAGAATTGACACCATGAAAGCCACAAAAGTGAGATACAGTATGGAGAAACAGAGCCTGATACTGAAAAGGTATTTCAGGTAGCATTAACAAGATCTCAGTAATCAGTATACTATATACATTAACATGTATAAAGTGAAAATTAGGTAAACAAATCTACAAAAAATAGTAGAACTATGCTTATCTCAATTCAATAAACATTCTACTCCACTAAGATGAGCCATAGGACCATATCTCAATTTGGTGTTTCATTAATTTGTTTTGAGTATGTCAGGAACGTTCAAATTGACACTTCAGTTTACTGAGGACTACCCAAATAAGCCTCCTACAGTGCGCTTTGTCTCTCGGATGTTTCATCCAAATAGTAAGTGCTAATTATTAAATTTTTGTATTCAAGAAGAATGCTTGTCTTATTGCAGTGTATTACGTTCTGCTTGCTACTGTTAAATCTCAGTTCTGGTGCTGAGTGTTTTATCTAGAGGCTTTTTGAGGCATAATTGTATTGTTGTCATTTGTGTTTTAAACTGCCATTTGATCAATCGAATCTATATATTACAATTTATCTTTGGCTACATCAGTACTTCAGTGGAAGGATAATATTTTGGAATGATTAAGAAGAAGTATAGATCTTAAAATTTTTGAAAAACATAAATTTAGACATATGACACATATCCTGTAATATATTACGTGATAACTGATACATTTATTTTTTATATATTAGTAGAAATGAGTGGTCAAAGTGATACACGTGAATAGGGCCAAAGTCAATGTAATACAATCTTAAAAGGGAGTATATAATTTTGGTTTGCTGGGTGTGGCTCAGCTTACTCAAAGATTAATCTTAAAAAAAAAAGGAAGAAGCTTACTAAAATATTATGCACTCAAAGTTTTATGCTGCAATTTGCTTATTGTTCTTATCCAATTAGATTGCCTAGGCTTCGTGAATTTGCACAGAAGGAAAACCTCAAAATAGTCTCTATTGCAGATCTAATGAGGTATTTTATCACTAATTTTTATCTGGATCATTGCACTTAAGTGTCATACCATTTTCACATTTTCTTTGTGGAATGATATCACATATGTAGAAGAGACTAAGGTCAATGAGTGAAATTCATACCAATCTATGTAGTTTATTACATAGTTTATTTTTCTGTGTTTCAGCTTCTCTCCCATGCGGGGGAAAATAAAAACCAAAAGAACCAATTAGACTTGTATGTTAGAGATTAGGAACAACCTTGTGGTGGTGAGCACTGAACAGAGTATTCTTTTGCCTTTACTAGAATTTTCTGGAGAAGAGATCAATAATTAGTAAATATGTGCAAGGTTAAGCATAAATCTACTGTCAAGAATAATTGCAGAACAGGAATTATTGATGTATCTAGACTTCATCTATATAAAACTGTTGTGAAGAAACGTGAAATTCAGACATATTAGGGCATGCTGTTTGTGTTAGTTAGAGGAATTCAGATGTTATTTATTTTCTTCCTCTAATATTATTGGTAGCTAGATACTAGTACACTCTGGAACTGGTAGAAGTTCCGCTGAGCAGGGGGATGGAATTGGAGTTGTAATATTTGTTTCTCATGGTGAATTTTGACAGTGTTTGGAAACAGCCTCCATAGTTGTTAGATTATTAGTATAACTGAGGACTGTTCATTCAATTGGAATTTGGAAAAAACAAATGGAGAAGAAGAAGTTAAGGGGCTCATTTATTCAGTATACTAGTGTATTATTTGTGGGCACCAGGCTAGATCTAAATTACTCTTTATCTCAACATTGATGAATATACTAAAAATAATTTAGGTGGTGAAGCTTAACATTCTGGTGACTTGGTGAGAATTCCATTTGTATTCCCGACACAAGCTTGATTTTCTTACTTTTTCCAGATCTTCATTATTTAAAGTCTATAGCTTGTGTATACATATTTCCCCCCTATGCTTTTAAGCCTAATTTTCAGGTTTTCACCCCATAAGCTATTTGTCACTTTGCTACGGCGTTCTTTCTCAAACCTCTTCTTCAACTTTTGAGCCCATAAACTTTAATTATTTTGCTATTACATTCTAAAAGGTTTTTCTGCGACTAAAAATCTATGATAAAGGGTAAAAGACAGGTTTGTCTCCGTAAGTAAGCTGCCTTTGCTTCTTGTTATTTAGCTACTAATGTTTGATGGTGTGGTTGATACAACTCTTCCAAAATTTTAGTATGAAGTCTTCCATTCCTGGTAAAAAAAGGATGCTTGTTTGGAAATAAAAGCTAACCTTAGCAGATTGTAGCTGGAAACTATGTTGTTTTCCCTCGTTTGTTTGTCAATCACAAAATCTAAAAAACCAGCTCATTCCCTTATTTAGGGGACTTGAATGAAACCTGCATCTCTTTTTCGTCTTTCTTATATTGAGACAAAGTGGTGGCTCTAAAATTGGTTAAATGATTTAGTTGATGTTATGATTTGCAAGTATCAGAGAAAAAGAGCCCAATTAGTTGAACGTTCATCTGCTGCTAGGATCCCTACAATGTGGGGGCATTTCACAGCTTATTTTACAAGTCATACCTAGACAGGGGTGGCAAATATGTAACTTTATATATATGCAATGCAAACATTTTTTTTGGACGAAAATTGTAATATTAAAGACTTTTTTAATGAAAATGTGTAACTTTATATATATGTTAATGTTTATATATCAATTTAAGTGAAAAAAATGCAAAAAAAAAATTATTATTATTTTTTATTTTTTTAGGGTATTTTTGGCACCGGTTTTGACCAGAACTGGTGCCAAAAGTTTTTAAATTTTTTTTTACACTTTTTGCATCGGTTCAAAGCAAGAACCGGTGCCTAAAGTTGGGTTTTTCGCACCGGTTCTTGCTTTGAACCGGTGCCAATAGTATTGAAAATAATAAAAAAAAATTGCGCCTTTGAAGTTGGCACCGGTTAACCGGTGCCAAAGCCTGTTGTTGCCGGTTAACCGGTGCCAATGCCTTTAGTTGGCACCGGTTTTGAACCGGTGCCAAATTTTTGGGGATTTGGCATCCCTCAAATCCCCAACGGTTCAAAACCGGTGCCTTAGGGGGGGTTTGAACCGGTGCTAAATTACCTTTTTCGTCTAGTGAGATAACCTGGACCGACTTACTCCTGGTTGAGTAGTTTCCCACTCGGTATCAAACTATCAATTTTTAGCCAATGAGGCAAGACTTGTGAAAGACATATAAAAAGAATTAAATGAGCCGATAGATGGGATATGGACCATACACACCCAAACATATTTATGTTAATGATATTATGATCATATGAAATATTATTGTGAAAAGTATGTGATATATTATGATAGATTTAGGAAAGTTAAGATATTTGAGAATATTAGGTTTATATATTTCTATTGTCTATGTATTGTGTTCGACTAGAGAAATATTTTCCCTAGAATCTAATATTTATATCATATCATATCACTAATAAATAAAGCCGGTCTCGCAGCCAGGTCATAAGACACACTACTAAAATTAGGTGATTTTACAACCGTTTTGTTGCGGCTGTCAAAAAAACAGTCGCAAGTTTTATTAATTATGATTGTTTCCCTGTCGGACGTAATTTTCATGAATTGCGACTGATAAATACTTTTTTTGCGGCTGTATTACCTGTCGTAACAAGGTTTTAATTTTCTTTTTTTAAAAAAAACTCGTTACGACCGGTCTGTTTGTCATAGAACCAGTCGTAGAATTTCGTAAAAATAATTATAACAACAAAAACTAATTAAGTTCATTTTGATAAAGAAGGGGAAAGGGGGAAACAACAAAGAAGACCTAGAGGCGAAAACGGTCGCTGACCCCAGCAACTCTTCCCACCGACGCGGTGTTCTCCGGTCGGCGACGCTCCCTACCGGTATGTCGTCTAAATTGTTTTATTTTATGTATGTAATGACTTCATTTGTTTTCTTTTTGGTACTAAGATTCGATGATAACACCGTCGGCACTACCATTACGAGCATTTTCCAAGCACATTGGCGCAAACCATGGCTTAACTATGAGGAGGTTGACGAGGGTACTAGGACCCATTGGTGGAACCAGTTTACGGTATTATATCACCCCTAAGTTTAGTTTTGTTATCTAACTTAGGTGTGTGTTGGTTGCTTATTACAATCACTTATTAAACATATAATTTTTGTTGTTTCTTTAAAACATTTGCAGAAACATTTCCTTTGGAATGCTGATGTTGATGCCCTTGTGAAGAAGGAGTATGACAAGAAGGCACATAAGAGGTTGAAAGAAATAACATACAATGTCACTGTCAGAAACAAGTCAATTCCTAAATGGATGGGAAAGTTAATGTTTCAGCAATTGATGGTGAAAAGAAAGGCCGCAAAATTTTTGGAGAGGTCGGAACGGGCTAAGAAGAAGAGGAGGGGCGGCTCCCTATCTAATTTAATTGAGCCATCACACTTCCAAGGTTCTATCTCTGCATCAAAGCATGCAAAGAAAATGGTAATTTAATAACTAATGGTATATAATGATAAATGTAAGTAGTTACATACACTAAGTATTTAAGGAGTTATTTAACTTGTGCAGGCTCAGAAAGCCGGTGGAGTGCTTCCTACTCCTCCTAGGTGTTCCTAAAAACTCATTTCAAGAATGTTCCTGGAAAAGGAAAATTTGCGGCTAACAAGAGGGCACAACAAATCTCGGTAACTCATCCAACTTTGGAATCTAATGAAATACTTTCTTAAGGAAGAAAGCAAAAACATAAGAGTACACTAATACATAGTTACATGCACTTTTACTTGTGATTTGAAACTTTAGACACCTAAAAATAGCTAATATTGGTATGTTAGGATCAATAATTAGTGAATTTGATAAGAAATGTGAATTTTAGGCAAAGAAATAGTCATTTTGGCCTCACATGCTTGATTTTGGATGAAATGTACCCTAATACATAGTTAAATGCACTTTACTTGTGATTTCAGACCTTAGACACCTAAAAATGGCTAATATTGGTATGTTAAGATCAATAATTAGTTCATTTGATAAGAAATGTGAAAAATAGGCAAAGAAGAAGTTGTCATTTTGGCCTCACTTGCTTGATTTTGGAGGAAATGTACCTTATAACCTTGTATTTGCATGAAAATAAATACTCTTAAGCAATTTCAACCTGCAAACATGTTAAATATACAAAATATGAGTTGTTAAAATGATTAAATGTTAGTTTATAAGGAAAACAAAGAATTTGGGTAAGTTAGAAGCTCATTTATGTCATTTTCGCCTACTTATGCTCTTATGACCTTGTATTTACATGAAAATGAATACTCTTAATTTAAGCAATTTGAACCTACAAACATGTTAAATATGCTGAATATGAGTTGTTAGAATGATTAAATGTTAATTTATACAGAAAACAAAGAATTTGGCTAAGTTAGAAGCTCATTTATGCCATATTAGCCTACTTCTGCTCTTATAACCTTGTATTTACATGAAAATGAATACTCTTAAGCAATTTCAACCTACAAACATGTTAAATATGCTGAATATGAGTTGTTAGAATAATTAAATGTTAATTTATAAGGGAAACAAAGAATTGGGTAAGTTAATGCCATTTTCACCTACTTGTCATATAATACAGGATGCTTACCAAAAGAAGCTTGACGATTCGACCACTCGAGGGTCACAATCGGACCCTAACTAGTTATACTGGGAGGTAGTTGGTGGTATAAAAAAGGGTGTGGTGAAGGGCCTAGGTGTGAGTGCTAGTTTGTATTACACCTCTTCTGAGAAAGGCTCGCAATCGTATAATCCGATCCTTCCATAGCTTCACAGTTGGAGGAACGTGTGCAAGCAGAGGTTACCGAGCGGGTAGAGGAGGCGAAAGAGCAGATGCATGTAGGCACAGATGGAGGCACAGTTTGCTATGAAATTGCAAGAAGCATTGAAGAAGGGGCGGGAAGAGGCGGCAATCGAGAGTAAGCGTATGATGGAGACGATGTTGCAGAACTTGTTCTCTAACTGTTCAGGTGGTCCTCCATTTCAGCTTCGTAGGGAAGATGACCCGAACATGAGCATTGGTGGGGGTGCTAACTAGACTCCGGTGCCGTAGTTTATATATGTTCATATAGCTCTTAGTTTAGTATTGTTCATATAATTCAATTCTTAGCTTAGTATTGTTCATATAGGCCTTAGGTTTTTTTGAGGGAATATAGGCCTTAGCTTTTTTTTTAGGGAATATAAGCCTTAACTTAGTTTTTATAATTAGCTTATAAAATACTATTAGTAGCTAGAACATTAGTATTATTATTATTAGTAACTAGAACATTAATATTGTAAGTATTGTTCAAACTTTGCTTTATTATATTCTAAAGTATGCATTTTATTTTTAATTTTTAGAATTTCTGAATATAATTATTTGATAATAGGTTATAGGTTCAGGTTAGGATGGCGTCATCTAATAGTAAAAGCAATGGTAACAATTGTGCAAATACAGATATTAATAAATTGCGACAGTCATAGAAACGGTCGCAATTTATGCAAAATTGTGACCGTTAAGTGCATATTCTTAACGGTTGCAATTTCATAAGTTTTTCGCGACCGGTAAAAAAAATGGTCGTAATGCCTGAAATTTTCGACGGTCCCGTTTTATGTTTAGCAGTCGTAATATTCTTATTTTGCGACTACCTAACCGGTCGCAAGGTTTTAATATTGCGACCGTCTGCACCGGTCGCAAAAAAATTACCCCTGTCGTAACTAACTTATTGCTACAAAATTCGAAACGGCCGTTGAAAATATATAAAACGGTCGCATTATCTTTGCGACCACTATACGGTGTAATTTTCCTTTTTTGCGACCAATTAAATTACGACCGGCATGTAGCGACTGGTAACAGTTGAATTATTATTAGCGACCGTTATTTCGTATTTTCAACGACCGTTATTGACGGACGCAAAAAAGTCGGTTTTTAAGTAGTGGACAGCGACACTTGACATTTTTGTTTTTCGTCAAGTGTCGCGCCACGTAGGCGACAAATAAGTATTATTGTGACACATATGATGCTAATTAAGTAAGCGAATTTTTGAAGATTTTTTAAGATAAAAATGTTGCATATAGTTTTATTATAGATTATCTACTAATATTTTATTTTATATATACAAAATTAATCATAACTTTTAATAAATAGCTAATAACACAGTTCTATTTCCATCATAAAAAGTCATTTTAATTTTTTTTTTTTAAAAATAAGATCCATTTATAATATATCAATTTTATTTTAACAAATAATAGAGAATTAATAAAAAAAAGTTTTAATCAGTAAAATAACTTTAGTTTAGTAAAAATACTTTCAGTTTAGTTTAAATAATTTAAGTATGATATCGCAAGTCTAAATTTCCTGCATTATCAGAATGGATCGGATTATACGACCATATTTAACATTTAAGCCAAACAGTTTATCCTAAAATTCAACAAACAACCTGAGCATCGCCCGGGGCACAAAACTAGTATATAATTAAAGGGGAATTTTTTCCCGAGTTTTTAGAGAGGCACGTAGGATTAAAATTTATTAGCGCTCCATGTAGGCTTATAAAGGTTATTGGTAGCCAATTAAATAAGAGATGTAATTTCTTTTTAAAAAATATAATTCAAATGCCACACAAGAAAAATTGGCGAATGAGACTTTAAAGTTTAAATTAAGGGGGATTTGTGTAAAAGAACCTTTTAAGTGGTCAGCTTTGTTTAAAAGAACCTTTTAAGTGAAATGTGAAAATTGACCTTTTAAGTTGTATTATGTTGTGAGAGATACTAGGATGAGTTTTCCGGGTGGTCAATGGCGGAGCTCCGTGATTCACTCTCACGTAGGAGTCACGTGACTTTGCAAAAAATAAAAATAAAAAAATCCCACACGTTTATTTTTCACATAAGATATTTTTTTTATGATGTATTATGTTGTGAGGGGGTATTAGGATGAGTTTTATGGGTGGTCAATAGCGGAGTTTTGGCGTTGACTCTCACGTGGGACGGAGTCACGTGACTTTTTAAAAAAAAGCCCACACGTAAGTGTTATGGGAGTTATAGGAGTTACTCGGTAAGTGTTATGGGGGTTACTTTGTTCGGGGTTACTTTGTTCTTTTAGAAGCAGCCAACGACATACAAGATGCACATTATTATTGTATAGATTCCTTATATTTTAGGAAAAAAAATAATTTCAATGTAATGTATTCATTCTTTTCCAAATTCAATAATACCATTACTACTTATTTATTTTTCTTTTTACAAAACGCAACAAGCAGAGATTATTATTAGCAATCAAAGCCTTGTCAGAGTTGACAAGGGGAATTACAGAGTGATGGCAATCCTCCATCCATATCAGTTCTTCATGCGAAGACTGAGCTAACTTAGCTAAGGAATCCGCAACTAAAGCCCACACGTATATTTTTCACATAAAATATAAAATATTTTCTTTTGAGATTAATAATTTTATTTAAATATAAAACAAACTTTATCACATAAATATAAAAAATATTTATTTTAAAAAATACAAACAACCGTACAGCACACGGATTTCATCTAGTAGTAAGAAAGATAAAGAATCGCTTTTAATTACTCGCCAATAATAAGCTTAGCCATACTCTTAATTAATTGATAAGAAGTATTATAACTGATAACCTCTAAATGCAACCAATAAGCGTACGTACCTAATAGAACTTAGCTTATACTAATTAACACCCTTTGTCTGAAATATAATAAAACAACTAACCCTAACAAATTCCAAATAACATCAAAGAAATAATTGAATGATGAATAAACTATCCAGAATAAATCTCCAGCATACATGAGATTGATCAATAATCTTGGACAAATTAATTAAACGTAATCCTCTATCCTAAGTGTATTTATGGCCTATTGCAGTTCCAAACACCATGACGGGTTTTCCTTTGATGATGACAAAGTGAAGATCGTTGTTGTACCGAAACGTTGCAAGAAGAATGTAATCATCTTCTTTTAGTCCATTCTCCTCCTTGAGTTTAGGCCACTAGCGTCTTTTCCCCGACTTCAAAACATACTTAAATCCGGGATCCTCGTTGTTGTTGTTGTTGTTCTTCTTCCCTTTATCCACGAAATAATTCCATCTACTTAGGGGCATCTCATACATGGACAATCCCATGATGACCTTGACGTTGATATCCGCCGCTTTAAGAAGCTCTTTCTCATCATTTGTTAGAAACGACGCATCAAGTTTTTCTGCTGAACCTGCCGGGAGGGCTAGTCGTGCTTGACTAGGTGCCATATCAGTTGGAGTCATCTTCTTTTCCATTATTATTTTCACTTCGCTAATTTCTTCTTTATTGTATCCCAAATTACGCCTCACATGCTCGATAATTGAGGTTTTAGTAGCATCATTGTTATGATCAACAAAAGATAATTTATTACAACTTTTATTGTTGATCTTCATCTTCTTAGGTTTGTCGTTGTTGCTGATCACGTGCACGGGGGGTTCGAGCTCGACTTTCGAGGCCTCCGGTTGTTTGTTGTTGTTGTTTTGTGATGAAGGTGGTTTGGCAAAGGTAATTTTTAAGTTGTAATTAGGGCTTCTCATAATGTAACACTCTCTTTGTATCTTGGATTTTGGTTGTTCATCTTCGGTATTAGGATTTGTTGGAGATGAATTTGGTGTTGGTAAGGAAGACGAGGTTGTGGCATTATTGTTTCGTTTCTTGGTGATGATGGTGGTGTTTTCTTGGGCTTCTGATTTCTCCATCGAAATCGATCAAGAAAGCTAAGAAGAAAGAACAAGCTAGGGAGAATGATTTCAAGGGAATTGAATCAAGGTAGCAATAATGCAAATAAGCGAGTATATATAGAAAAATTGAATCAAGAGTTTGGGATGATTTGGGAGTGAACAAAATTGGTGAGCAAGTTACCTGAAATATCTTTGTAGTAGTAAAATGATAGTTTTTAGGAGATGAAATCGAAAGCTTTTGTTCAAAAAATGATAAACTTATTTTAGGAAATAATATCTAAAAACCTAGATTATGATAGAGAGATACTCTAATATTTTTTGGAAACTTTTTAGTTTCGAAGCTAGATTGACTACGAGTAGTATTAGTTAGCTGAGTTTTGTTTATAAAAAATATGATCTTTTACAATGTGATGATATAATTTCATTTTTTAAACAGCTGTCCAAGAATGATAATTTATCCAAGACAAGTTCGTAAATTATCATCTTTGGAATGGGCCAAAGATATTACCACGTAAGTAAATTATCCAAACATGATTTCATGATAATTATTTATGGCTAGACCCTATGGTAGGGAACTATCCCTACACCCCCACAAAACACAGCGTACCATTACTCCCCACAAAGGCCACAATACACCCTACTATCCTAAGTAAAAAAAACTGTCAATAAACTCCCTTACCCCACACACACACAAAAAAAAAAAAAAAACTTTCATTTCATCTCAATCTCTTTTCATTTTCTCTCTCCATTTTCTCTCACATCTAAAGCTCTAAAACTTCAACAATGGCAGATTTCATAGACGAAATCAAACAATTGAAGCAAATTTCACCAAAAAAAAAAAAACAAGCGGAAATCAAAAGAGTAAGTATTAATGTTCATGTTTATAGCAAAAAAAAAAAATAGATATAAATACAAACCCTAATTTTTTGAGAATTTGTTTGTGATTGTGTTCCAAGAAACAAATTGATACTTCAATCGCTGAAAATGTATCAATGTAAGTGTTTATGTTAATTATTGATCAATTTCAAAGCGACTATTTAATTTCGAATAATTAGTAATATTTTTTTTTGAGGCAAATAATTAGTAATATTAACATATACTTGTTTCAATTTAATTTTCAGTTCGGAAAAATCTATTTCAGAGAAGAAAAACAATGATTC